TGCTAGGGGTTTTGGGGAGCGCGGCTGAGGCTGTTCTTGCCTAGCCAAGGGCTTAGGGTTTAGGGTTTAGGGTTTAGGGTTTAGGGTTTTGCGCAGGAAGTGGAACAGCCCCTTCGCTTCCAAAGAAAGAGAGCTGCTGGGGCCAATGCCGAGGCATTTGGGGGGCAAGCCCGACGACATATCTCTTGTCGTGGGGGTTGTGAGGTAGGGTTTAGGGTTTAGGGTTTAGGGTTTAGGGTTTGGGGTTAGGGTTTGGGGGAGGGCCTAGGGTTCGGGGCGAGGGCGTAGGGTATGGCGGGGTTAGGGTTTGGGGTTTGACGTGAGGGTTTGGGGTTTTGGTGAGGGCTAGAGGGTTTAGGGTTTAGGGTTTAGGGTTTAGGGTTTGGGTCTGTTGTCTGGAAAGTTGCAAAGATAAAACACTTTTGAGGGTTTGGGGTTTGGTGCGTTTCAGGGAAAACAAAGAGGGCGGCAGCACGCCCGGGGCCTCAAACCCTAAACCCTAAACCCTAAACCCTCAGCCGCATTTGGAGCGTGTTTCAAGGCTTCGCTGAGGGTTTAGGGTTTGCGGTTTAGGGTTTAGGGTTTGGGTTGGAGGGGACTTGGCCGGGGCGCGCTCTGCGCCGCCGCAAACCCTAGAGCCAGCCCCCCAGAGGGCCTCCTCAAACCCTAAACCCTAAACCCTAAACCCTAAACCCTAACCGTACTGCTGCAGCAATTCTTTTGCTGCTTTTTCCCCTTCTTCTGTGGAAGCGTCTGCAGCCATGGGTGGGGCCAGCGAGTCCATGTCCTGGTGTACATACACCCCAAATTCCTAGGGTTTAGGGTTTAGGGTTTAGGGTTTAGGGCGTCTGCAGCCGCGGGCGGCCCCACAGCTTCCAGGCCCTCGAGAGTACATGCACCTCAAACTGCGAAGTTTTAGGGTCTAGGGTTTAGGGTTTAGGGTTTGCCAGGGCCTGTGGGGCCGCCAGATCTAGGGTTTAGGGTTTAGGGTTTAGGGTTTAGGCTTACCATAAAGCACATGGATTTGATGTGTTGGTTCTGGAGCTTCCACTGCAGCAGCAAAAGGCACACCGAGGGTTTAGGGTTTTGGGCCCAGGGCGCCCCCGGCCCGCGTCGCTAGGGTTTAGGGTTTAGGGTTTAGGGTTTA